AACCACCCACTGGACCAACACCAACAATGGCGTTTTTAAGGCTTGCCTGAAGCTGACTTACCGGCACATGGATTTGGGGGAGGTGAGACGTGCGGTCTCTAAGAACCCCTTCCTAGGATTGTTTTGTTTTTTTTTTTTTGGCAAAAACAGTTCAGAGAAAGAGAGACTTTGAGATACACCTGTTCTCTGAATCCCCTGGTGGGGGATGTCCCGGGGAGAAGCTGTGGACGCGGGATGATTCGGGTCCCCTCCCTGGGGCACGGAGCGCTTTCCTTTGCCTGCTGCCTTGCCGACACCCGAATTCAGCCCACGCTGCAGCCTCGAGCCCCTGACCTCGGTGGGGCCCCCCCGCTCTCCGACAGTGATGCAACAGGGCGGTGTCACCCACAGACTGTTGGGTAATGCCTTGTTACCCTGGGGGCCACACGCGCCCCAACATGAACCATTGATCGGCATCTTGTCGGGTAGCATTTTGTCAGCCACAATCCGGGAAGACGCCCAGGGGCCCTCGGGCACGCCTCCCCTCCCTGAATGCATTACAATTGTGCAAGGTCCTGAAGCTGCAAGGTGCCAGGGTCGGGAGCCTGCCGCTGTGATGTGGCAAGCTTCCACTCGGGGAATTTTACTGTGCCTTTTCGTGTGTGCGCGTGTGCATGGTCCTTCTGGTGCTGCTTGTTATATGCTTTGCTTTTTTAAGTATAACTTTTGTGACTCTATTCCTTTAAAAAAAAAAACTGTCGAACGGCAGAAATACAGAGAGAGAAGGAGAGACAGAGAGATTCAAAAAGGAGGCATCGGCTGTGGCTGAGCTGCTCTGATGAAACCAGGAGCTACTTCCAGGTCTCCAACATGAGCGCAGGGGCCCAGGCAACTGGGCCACCTTCGACTTGTTGCCTTTCCAGGCGTGTCAGCAGGGGGTTGGACAGGAAGTGGAGCAACTGGGACTCGAACCGGCATTCTTATGGGATGCTGGCTCTCCAGGCAGAGGCTTAACCCACTGTGCCCCACTTGTTGCCCATTTTCATAAGATCCAGATCTGTTTAGGGAGGGGTATGAGTGGACTTTAGAAGGCCTGTGGGAAATGGGATGAAAATGTGAAATTTATTTTGGGTGTCCAAAAAAAAAAAAAAGTTTGAATTCCACGCATAACAGGGATCTTTAAAAAAGTTCGTGGAACGTAGGTATTATGAGAAAAGCTGTATGCAGATTTCACAAATGTGTTGCAGTACCAGATGCTGACTTTTAAAAATTGTATTCGAGGGGCCAGCACTGTGGTGCAGTACGTTAAACCTCTGCCTGTTGACCTGGCATTCCCTCCTGCAGCCGGTTCAAGTCCCAGCTATTCCACTTCCAATTCAGCTCCCCTGTCGGTGGCCTGGGAAAGCAGCTGAGACTGCTGCTTCAAGTCCTTGAGACCCTGCACCTGCATAGGAGACCCGCAAGAAGCTCCTGGCTCCTGGCTTCAGATCAGCGCTGGCCATTTGGGAAGTAAATCAGCAGATGGGATATCTCTCTCTCTGTCTCTCTCTCTGTCTCTCTCTCCCCTTCTCTGTCAAATCCATCTTTCAAATAAAATTCTCTGGTTCTTTCCCAAGATGCCCGTCATGGATCAGGCTGAGGCCAGGACACAGGCGACGAGTCCGAGTGTCCCACGTGGGTTGCAGGGACCCAATGACTGGGGCCGTCGGCGCAGTCTCCCACCCGGCTCTGTCGGGCAGCTGGAGTCAGGAATTGGCACTCCGCTGTGACCCCACAGGCGTCGTGACTGCTGGCTTACACAGCCACCCTCAATCCTGTTTTGTCACTACCCTTTGATTTCAGGATTAATTTATTTGAAAGGCAGAATAACTGATCAGAGGGAGGGAGGGAGAGAGAGAGAGAGAAAGAGAGAGAATGGAACCTTCCACCCTCTGGTTCGTTTCCCAAACGCATTAGGTCGGGAGGCAGCTCCTGCCGGGTCTCCCCCTTGGGCGGCAGAAGCCCAGGACACCTGGACCAGCTTCCGCTGCCTTCCCACATGCGTTAGCAGGGAGCTGGATGGGAAGCACGGAGTCTCTGGGACATGACTGCAGGCGTTGCTGTACAAGAGGCACCCCACGCCCGCCCACTGCACCCACCTAAGCTTCAGGTCCTACAGGCGTTCTTTTAACTGGCTGTCTCTTTCCCGAGTGATAGGATTAAGGGATGCCCCCCCCCTCTCTCTCTCACGGGGTGTTTTCATCATGGGAAATCTAATCCCGATGGCTTAGGTAGGCGAAGCTGGCTCCCCTGGTGCTGGGCACATTGGGAAGGCAGCTCTCCAAGGCCTCCCACCTCTTCCCTTTGTGGCCCTAGCAGCAGGACAGATAAGAAATACAAGAAGGAGGGGCCCCGGCACACTAGCCTAGTGGCTAAAATCCTTGCCTTGAACACTCTGGGATCCCTTATGGGGCCTGGTTCTAATCCTGGCAGCCCCACCTCCCACCTAGCTCCCTGCCTGTGGCCTGGGAAAGCAATAGAGGACGGCCCAAAGCCTTAGGACCCCACACCCACGTGGGAGACCCAGAAGAGGCTCCTGGCTGCTGATTTTGGATTTTTCTTTTTTTTTTGGAAAGTCAGATTTACAGAGAGGAGGAGAGACAGAGAGATCCTGCATCCACTGTTCACTTCCCAAGTGACTACAATGGCTGGAGCTGAACTGATCTGAAGCCAGGAGCCAGGAGCTTCTTCCAGGTCTCCCACACAGGTGCAGGGTCCCAAGGCTTTGGGCCGTCCTCCACTGCTTTCCCAGGCCACAGGCAGGGAGCTGGATGGGAAGCGGGGCCGCCGGGATTAGAACCGGCGCCCATAAGGGATCCCGGCACGTTCAAGGCCGAGGACCTTAACCATTACACGATCGCGCTGGGACCTAAATATATATATATATATATTTTAATGATATATTTATTTTTATTTGAAAGGCAGGTTTACAGAGGAGAGAGAGAATATCTTCCATCCATTCATTCATTCAGTAAACGGACTCAACAGCTGGAGCTGAACTGATCTGGAGCCAGGAGCCAGGAGCTTCTTCCTGGTCTCCCACGCGGGTGCAAGGGACCAAGGACTTGGACTTTTTTGCTGCTGCTTTCCCAGGCCATGAGGAGAGAGCTGAATTAGAAGCAGATCAGCTGGGACGTTAGCCAGAGTCCATATGGGGTGTGAGCACTTGCAGGTGGAGGATTAGCCTGTTGAGCCACCGCCCGGGCCCCTAAAATGAAAGAAGACTGCTTGCTCAACGTTCCTTGACTGTGTCCCTGTTTCCCCAAGGTCACTTCCTTTGCACTGTTGAGATGGATGAACACCGGTGGCCTTGACCAACAATTGCAGAGCCCCGCCCCTGTGGAGCCCCTCTTAGCTGCATAGGTGATTCCGGAAAACGCCGGTTCTGCATCCCCCAGCCCGTTGCTGCTTCCTTGTGCGCACCTGGCCAGCGGCTGGTGCTTCACGCGCAGAGGAGGAGGAGGAGGAAGGAAGAACTGCCTGGCCTTGAACTCCGAACCCAGGAGCTGAGCCTCGTTCAGCAAGATGGGCTCGTTCCACGGTGGGACGCGATGACCTCACGGCAATTAGGGCCGGCTGCAATCCTGGTGCAATTCATGAGATGCAAATAAGAGGACTAATTAGCCTGGGTGAGTGCCGCGGGCCGGTAGCACTGGCGGCTGCGGGTTCTCTTGCAAGCAAGAGTGGCAAACATGTTTTTGTGTTCAGTGATGGGCGAGGGGTGAGACTGGAGCAAAACAGGTGCCAGGTCACTCCTGGGGAGACGTTCAAGGGTCCCGGCTGGGGAAGGGGATCCCTAGGGGTACACACATGACGCCACGTCGGCTCCAGGATCCAGATCCACCTGCAAGTCCTCTTCAGGGTCAAGGGAATGTATTGATGGGATCTGCACGGGGGGGGGGTGGTCTCTGAAGACCCAAGGTGTCTAAGGGCAACCACATTTTCCGTGGGAGTCTTCCACAGGTGTTGGGAATGCTCCATGAAGTGGCACAGAAAAAGGCTGGTCCCCATACCGCGTTGGGAAGGGAAGTTTTAAAATGTCTAGAAACTTTATATTCTTTGGTTAATCTGAGAGGCAGAGAGAGAGAAGAGAGCCAGCCAAAAAACAAACAAACAAACAAACAAACAAAAAAAAAAACCCTCTTGCATCTGCTGGTTCACTCTCCAAATGGCCACCACAGGCAGGAACTAGAAATTCCATCTGGGACTCTTCATGTGGGGGGCTGTTGCCTGTCCAGGCACATGAGCAGGGAGCCACACTGGAAGTGGAGCAGCCGGGACTCGAACCGGGCCTCCCATGGGATGGTGGTGCCACAACGCAGTCCTTAGGTATGGTGGAGAGGACGGTGAAGGGTGGCGGCTTGAGTAACTTCATCTTCCACGGGGTATCTCTTTCATTGCTGCCCTTGACCTTCAGGCAAGGGCATCTGCATGGGGAGGGGATTTGTGCAGGGTGTGACCATGAGGAGGTGGGGTCTGGGGACAAAAATCTTTTTTTAAGATTTATTTATATTTATTGGAAAGGCAGATCTATAGAGAAGAGAAGAGATAGAGAGGAAGATATTCTGTCTGATGGTTCACTCCCCCCAAGTGACCTCAATGGCTGGAGCTGAGCCGATCCGAAGCCAGGAGCCAGGAGCCTCTTCCGGGTCTCCCACACGCGGGTGCAGGGTCCCAAGGCTTTGGGCCGTCCTCCACTGCTTTCCCAGGCCACAGGCAGGGAGCTGGAGGGGAAGTGGAGCTGCCGGGATTAGAACTGCCCATGTGGGATCCCAGCGGTTGCAAGGCGAGAATTTAGCTGCTAGGCTATCGCGCCAGGTCCCTTTATTCTCTTTTAAATAGAATTCCGCTTAGAAAATGCCAGGGAGGGAAGTGAAAGCTATGGCTGGGGGAGAGGGTGTTGTCCGGTTCAGCCTGGGGGTTTTGGGGTTAGGGCCAGGGGTGTGGGGAAGTGGGGGCGGTGGGAGGTGGCTTTGCTGGCATCACTTGGGGACCACGCAGGCAGCATCGTGGCCCGGCGGCGTGCGGGGGTCCCAGTCATTCACCAGGCGCTGCGCTTGCTCGTAGAAAATGTGCGAGTGCTTCTGGCGCAGGCGCAGGCGCACCACGTTGGCGTCCACGTCCTGCCCGACCTTCTTGTAGTTGAGGTTCTGGGCTAAGTGTTGGCGCGTGGCAAGAAGCTTGTCCAGGTTCTTTGCCACGTTGGAGATGTGACGCTGCAGCTTGTCTGTGCCCTGGGGGAGGGGGTGGTGGAGGTGGTGGCGGCGGCGGCGGCGGGTGGACACACGCATGGGGCAGGTGTGCATGTGGGACGTGCGACGTGGATGGGCAGTGGGGGAGGCACACACCTGGGCCAGGTGTGTGTGTGTGTGTGTGTGTGGAAGGAGGTGGCCGCTCAGGGTGGCCAGGTGTACTGGAGAAAGAACCCTTCTTCCTCCCCCAGGACACAGAGGAAGCCGAGGCCCGGTGAGAGAGAGAGTCCATTCCAGGACAGATGTGGAATGCATCTGGCCAGAGGTTGAGAAGACCCCCTGAATGGATGCAGGTGCAGGTATTGCAGAGTACCCCATCGTGGACAAGGCCAGAGCCGGCGAAGGAGGGAAGGAGTCCAGCTCTCTATCTGGACCAGGTAAAGAAGAAGCCCTTCCCAGGGCGCGGGCTAAGGAGACATAGAAGGGAGACAGGGAGACGGGGGAGGGATGTGCGAGGAGGGCGGACCTGGGCGAGGCGTGTGGCCTCGGGCAGTTGTGTGCCCACGTGTCTCTGGTACACCCGGACCAGGGGTCGATCCAGCTTCTCTCGCGTCTCCAGGTGAAGTTTGGACAGAGGACCCTGTGCGGGGTGCGGACAGCGCGGAGTTTATTTTCCCATCACCCCCTCACCCTTCTCCCAGTTGGGGGCCCTCGGTGGGGCGAGGGCGGGGCAGGGAGGGAGGGAGGGACCTGTTCCCAGCCCATACCTTGATGAGGCCTCCGGTGACATGCATCTCTTTGCTGAATTTTGTGCACCGGTGGATGGTCCCTCGCATGAGCCCTAATGTCATGTTCATCCTTTCCTGGGGTTGGAGATGGAGAGCACAAGGGCGATGGTGGTGGTGTTGGGGGGGGGGGGCGGGTCGCGCGCACACTTCTCACCCCCTGCCCTCCAGGCCTGGTTCTCCCCTCCCAGCATCTCCATCCCTCTCCCGGCAGCCCCTGCGCCCTAGCACCCACACCTTCAGCTCTGAGGTCTCACGCATCTTCTGCGCCAGCGAGGCGCACACGCGGTCGCTCATCTGGTGCTGGCGCTCACCCACTTCCGCGTCGTTCTTGGCCATTTCCACTAGGGTGTCCTTCGACTCGATTAACAGCCTCTTGGCTTCGTACAGAGCTGCGGCGCACTCTGCCAAGGCACCGGGCCGGTGCACGCGTGCGCACGTCGGGGAGCCCAGTGCCCCCCGCATACTTGCCTTTCCCCAGATCCTGACTTCCTGGGTTCCCCACACCCTCCCTTGCCTTGGTGGTGGCGGCGATGCTGTGCTGTGTGTGGGCGAATGAATGAATGAATGAATGAATGAATGAAGGCATGTGAGGCTGATTTTTGGATGGACACCAGGTACCCTGCCTTCCCCGGAAGTCCTACCTGGGGTATAGGTACCCACAGGGTCTGCAGGTGGCGTTTTCTGGCCCTGGGTGCGGGGGGTCGGGGGCCGCGACAGGTTCACCCAGGAGTGACGGCCAGCCTGTTCCAGGACCTTGTCCAGCGGCTGGTTCATGAGGTCCACGGCTTGTAGTCTCTCCTTGGAGCAGAAGCCCAGGGTGTCTCTACAGGAGGCCAGAGCCTGCAGGCGTTGGGATGACAAGGCTGTGAACCTGTGACTCTTTCCTTTGCTTTTTTTATTGGTTTCCACGCTGGTAAAAAGCTTTTATTTATTTTTCAAAAACAATTGTATTTATTTATATATGGAAGGTAGAGAGAGAGAGAGAGGGAGAGAAAAAGCTTCCATCTGCTGGCCCATTCTCTTATTGCCTACGAGGGCTGGAAGGTCCCAATCAGCATCCAGGTCTCCCATGTGGATGGGATGGGTGTGGCAGGGCCCAGGCACCTGCTCTATTCCCCCACGGTGCCTTAATAGGGAGCTGGAGTTGGGAGTGGAGCCGGGACTTGAACCTGGGCACTTCAGTGTGGGCTCCTGGGTGCCAAGCACCTGCTCTGCCTTTCCAGGGTTTGTTGTTAATTCTTGGAAAGAAGCGATTTCCAAGTCCAAGTGCCCACAGCCTCCTTGCCCTCTGTTCTGAAGGTTGTCAATGACTTCTTCACTGTCCTGCTGTGAGGGACAGGAGGGGCCAGCTTGGGGCTTCTGTGTCCAGCTGTTGTTGGGTTCCTGGGACGTGGATATGGGATGCTGGTGTCACGGGTACCTGTGCCCCCAGTGCTGTGCCTTGGTGGCTTTCTAGGAGAAAATGGACAGTCGGGTACGCTCCCTACCTCTTGCTCTGTGACACCCCAGGCCACCACCCCAGACTATTATCTGAGCCAACTGGATTGTGAGCCTCCAGAAATGTGAGTCAAAGAGAAACTAGGCCTGGTGAGGTAGCCTAGTGGCTAAAGTCCTCATCTTGAATGAGCCAGGATTGCATATGGGTGCCAGTTCTAATCCCACGGCGGCCCCACTTCTCATCCAGCTCCCTGCCTGTGGCCTGGGAAAACAGTCAAGGAAGGCCCAAAGCCTTGGGATCCTGCACCTGCATGGGAGACCAGGAGGAGATTCCTGGCTCCTGGTTTTGGCTCAGCATCAGCTCTGGCTATTGTGGCTACTTAGGGAGTGAATCCTCAGATGGAAGATCTTCCTCTCTGTCTCTCCTCCTCTCTGTATATCTGACTTTCCAATAAAAATAAATAAAAAAAATTTTTTAAAGATACCTCTTGGGGCCAACACTGAGGCACAGTGGGCAAAGCCACTGGCTAAGATGCCATCAGCATCCCATGTGGATGCTTCTGTTTCTTAGGAGACCATGAGGATTTGATGCAATGGCTGCAGAGTCTGGCCCGGGTCTGAGACCCAGACCCGGTGCCACGTCTGTCTTATCTCTTCTGCAAAGTGGAGGAGCAGCACCGACTGAAGGAGGTGCCACCATGCCAGTCCCCAGGGTCACAGGACACCCCCCCCACTCCATCTCCCCGGCACCCCTCACCCCCCAGCTCCCAGGATCCCTTACCTTGAGCAAGGCCTCCGACTGTTCCATGTCTTTCTCCAGCCTCCGCTTCATGCCCCACAGTTCCTCTCTCTCCCAGGTAAGTACACTGTCAGCTTTGTCGGGGACCTGGAAGGCAAGGGAGGCACTGTCTGACAGCCCCGGGAGCTGGCTCCTTCCAGGCGCTGAGAGCGCTTGGCGACCCTCACAAGGCGCTTGGAGAATAAAGAGGCAGCGGCATCCTCGGGGGGTGGCACAGTCTCAGAAGCGTTGATGGTTTTTCCTATTTAAAAAGATGTGTTTTATCTGAAAGGCCGAGTTACACACACAAGAGACAGATAGATAGATAGATAAATAGGTAGGGAGAGAGGTATTCCATCCACTCTTCAAAAACTGGGAGAGAGAGAGAAAGAGAGAGAGAAAGCTGGAGCCAGGATTTTCATCCAGGTCTCCCACATGGATCCAGGAGCCCATCCTCCACTGGTTTCTGATGTGTATTAGCAGGCAGTTGGATTGGAAGTGGAGCAGCCAGGACAGGAACCCGTGCCCCTAGCTGTGCACTGCAGACAGAAGTTTAACAAGCTGTGTCACAGCACTGGTCCCAAAGCATGGTTCTTTTAAGGGGCCCTTGCTGGGTCAGGGTGGTTGGGGGAGGATCTTACTTTCTGGAATTTGGGGCTGGGGGCTTCCATCTCTGGCACAGGGCTGGGATGGAGGTGACTTAACCTCGGAGGAGGTGGGGACCCGCTTCATGGATGGTCTCGCTGCTCTGGCCTTACACGTGGAGAGACCTCATTGCACAAGCATGTGGAGGTTTTTGCCTGTTGGGGCTTGCCCCATTAGCAGGTGCCTCACTGGGCTAATATGGTCTCCTTCCTCTTCAGGCAGCAGACTTTGGGGCGCCCTAGACAGAGAGCCATAGCTCCCGCCCCTCTTGGGTCACTCCCCAGTTGCTTTGCAACAGCTTAAGGCACTAGACTGCGCAGAAGACAGGAGCCAGCAATTCCATCCGGGTATCCCACTCTCCTGCTCCAACCGGGTTAGTGGGGACCCAAGTATTTGAATCGTCACCTGCCCTGCTCCCCGCGCATGAGCAGGAGCTGGAGTCGGGAGCCACAGGCAGGGTGTTTCCACGTGGGATATAGACTTTCGCAAGAGGCAACTTCATGTCCCTGCCACCCACCTGCTCCGGGAATGGGGGATGGGTTTGATTTTACTTTGGGTGGCTTGGGATCTTGCCATCACCTGCTATCCTCGGCTAGGGGCTGGGGGTGTTTGCTTGTGGGCTTCGAGGTGCGCCTCTCCCGGTCTCCTCTCTTTTTTGTGTGTCTCGGAACTTGGGGCGGAGGAGGAGTGCCACGAGGTATTGGGGGATAGGGTAGGGTTGCGGGACCCCCACCTTCTCCGACTTGGGCCGGTAGCCTCTCAGCTTGACGCTCTGTTGGTTGACGAGCAGGCCCTTGCGCACCTGGCTGAGCCTGCGGTCGGTGGCGTCGCGCTGGCGCTGCACCTGTCGCAGGCGCGCGTTGATCTGGTGCTGTGCGCGGCCCAGGCGGGCGGCGGTGAGGCGCGCCCCGCGCGCGTGTGCGTGCACCACCTCGGCCGTCTGCAGGGCGCGCGCGTCGCGGTGCAGGGGCAGCGGCAGGCGCGCGTGCCAAGCGGGCGGCTTCATCTTGCCCTTCCACAGGGTGACGCCGTCGCCAGGGGGCGGCTTCTCCACGGTGCTGCCGCCTTTGAGCATCTCCACTCGAAAGCGCCAGGGCAGGATGTAAGCGGCGCGGCACAAGTGGCGCGCCACGTGAGGGTCGCGCACGCTGTCCTTCGGTTGCCACATGGTCACCACCTCCTGCCCGCAGCGGTCGGTCAGGTTATGCGCTCGGCGCGTCGCGGCCTGTGCCGCCTCTCGCCATGCTGGGGCCCCCACGCGACTGTCCTGGCTGAGCTCGGCCGGGGGCGCCAACACGGGCATGGTCGCTTGCTGGGTGCCCCGGGGGTCTGACACCCGGGATCTCAGCGCACACGAGTAGCTATGTCCCCTCCTTTGCTAGCCACGCACTCCGCTTCCCAGGCTTGTGGAGGGGGAACGGGAGAGTGTTGGTCGCCATGGCAACTCAGCAACAACGCAGAGCGTTCCAGGCGTGGGGGAGGGGTCGCACGGAGCCCCTAGGGGCGCCTGGGACTTCCGCGAGCTTGGCGGAACCGTGCGCTTCGCCAAGGACCATGCCAGCTTAAACATCACTGTTTTGATGTAGTGCGCGCGCGCGCGTGCGCGCGCGCACACACACGCAGATTTTTTTGTCTGCTGGCTCCCTCCTCAAATGCTTGCAACGGCACAAGCTGGCACACAGCAGGTGTTCAAGATGCACAAGGCCAGAATGAGATTCTCAAAGTGCAATGAACAATGCTTCTATTTTTAAAAGAAAAATTGTTTTTATTAGATAGGCAGATCAGATTTAAAGAGAGAAGAAGAGAAAGATTTTCTGCTGGCGTATTTCCCAAAAGGCCACAATGGCCGGAGCTGATCCAATCCCAAGCCAGAAACCGGGAGTTTTTTTTTTTTTTTTTTTTTTCCCCAGATCTCTCCCATATGAGCGCAGAGGTCCAAGGATTTGGGTCATCCTCCACTGCTTTCCCAGGCCAGGATGGAAAGTGTGCAGCTGGAACACAGACCAACCAGTGCCTAGACGGGATCCAGGTGCTTGCCAGGTGAGGATTTAGCCACCGCCCCATTGCGCCGGGTCCTAATGAATGACATTGAAGTACATCGTTTGGAAACATTTAGTCCACCTGTAGGCGGTGTCAGCCAGCGCCTCTGTCTTTTTTTTTTTTTAAGATTTATTTTATTTTTATTGGAAAGGCGGATATACAGAGAGGAAGATCTTCCATCCGATGGGCCGTCCTCCACTGCTCTCCCGGGCCACAGGCAGGGAGCTGGATGGGAAGTGGAGCAGCCGGGATTAGAACCGGTGCCATATGGGATCCCGGGCATGCAAGGCGAGGACCTTAACCACTGTGCCACCGCACCGGGCCTAGCGCCTCTGTCTTAATTCTCAAGTAGGCCCATTGCTCCTCAGGACTGTTTTATCCTCATCTTAGCAGGAGCCCCTCTCATGACTCACCTCCCAGGCACCCGCGTGACTCTTCATGGTCCTTCCGTTGCTCTGGGCTTTTGCTTCCTTTGGACTTGCCATTCAATAGAGTCCTCCATGGTGTAGCATCTGTGTCCGTTTTTCATCCCACACTCTCTGTTTTCCAAGTCTGCCTGTATTGCAGCCGTGGACTCATGCCTTTGCATACGACAGATTTTATTGATGTGAAAAGCAGAGGAGAGAGAGAGAGAGAGAGGGAGAGAGAGAGATCTTCCAATCCATTGGTTTACTCTCCAAATGGCAAGAATGGCTGGGGGCTCCTGGTTCCTGGATTCAGCTAGGCAGAATCCAGGAGCTGGGAGCTGTCTTCATGGTCTCCAACAAACATGGGTGCTGGGGCCCGAGCATTTGGGCTGCCCTCTGCTGCTTTCTCAGGCACCTTAGCAGACGACTGGACTGGAGATGGAGCCGCTGGGGCTGGAGCCTATATGAGATACCAGCAGATAAAAGCTTTGTGTACAATGCCACGGTGCTGGCTTCTTATTGCCTCATGATATTCACACGGACCACACTCTTGCCAATGGAGTAAATGCTATTACTCGGGCATTGAAATTGCTTGACATGACCTCCTTTTCGCTTTCTGATCCCGATTATTTAAAAAAAAAAAGTATTTTATTGTCAAAAGAAAGATAGATGCTAGAATTTTTCCTCCTGTTGGTTTTCTCCCTAAATGGCCCCCAACAGCCAGGCTGGCACATATTGTACCCAGGAGCTCCGTTCTGGACTCCCGGATGGGTGTCAGGTGCCCACAGCACCTGCTGCTGTCCCTGGCATGTTGTCAGGCAGCTGGATGAAAAGGCAGAGTGTCCGGAGCTTGCATGGACACTCGGATGAAGGATGTGCCAGTGTGGCAGGTGCCAACCTAACCCGCCGTGCCGTGACGTGCCCTCCGCTCCCAAGTGTATTCGATGATGGAAATCGCCCTCTGGTTTTGTATTGATGCTTCGCGGAGACTCCGCTCTCGGCGAGCTTTGCTGGAGTCTCCTCTGTTGCAGAAGGGACGTGGCGAACTAGCATGGCTGAGGAAGGAGAGCTGTCACAAACTCCTAAACTTTTTTTCCTTTCCTGTCTCTCTTGTCCCACGGAGGGCTCCCCCCTCCCCCCCCACCTGCTGGAGTGTGTGTGTGTGTGTGTCACCTGGAGACGCCCTGTGGCGTATGGCATGTCGCACGGAGACGCCCTTCCCTTGGAGATCTTGGGCACGCCATTCTCCCAGACCCGTTTTCAGGGTCCCTTCTGGGGCTGCAGCTGCTGTTTTTGGAAGGTGTCCCCTTTTGCAGATAATCAAATCCATGGGCCTCTCGCTCCTGGGAGACGCGACCCAGAATCCAATTTGTCTTTGAGAAATGAGGTCAATTTCCTGGTGGAGGTGTCGGGGAGGTGGCAAGGAGCCCCAGGCCGGGAGAGGAGGTTCCTGCCAGTGGCCGAACTGGCTGTGCTGGCCGGCGAGTGGTCCCAACCGGACCACATTGGCTGAACCCCTGTTGAGTTCCCTGACATGACTCAGGCAAAAGTCCTCCGTTTGATGTGAAAATTGTGGACACCCCACCTACAAGTAGCTTTAAAAAAGTAATAGGCATTTTTTTGTGGCTGAATTTTTTTTTTTTGAGATCTCCTGCAGGTACAAGTGTAAACAGTGTTTGCAGCCAAATGAATTTATCATTTCATTTCATGTGGCATGAACATATTTAAAAGAATGTATGTGAAAGCATGATGAGACAGATCTTCCATCTGCTGATTCACTCTCCAAGCGGCTGCAATGGATAGAATTGAGCTGATTTGAAGCCAGGAGCCAGGAGTTTCTTCTGGGTCTCCCACGCAGGTACAGGGTCCCAAGGTTTTAGGCCATCTACGACTGCTTTCCCAGGCCACAGGCAGGGAGCTGGATGAGAAGTGGAGCAGCCGGGATACCAACCGGGGTCCATATGGGATTCTGGCGCGTGCAAGGGAAGAAATTTAGCCACTAGGCTACCTCACCAGGTCCAGCAAATAAAAATTTTTAAAGTCCCCATCCACTCATCCATTTAAACCAGTATTTTAGCTGGACTTTTCTGTTTCCCAGGCTTAGTAGCAGCCACACAGTCTAAACCTCTCCTTTCTGCTCTGCATATTTCTTCTGAAATTCTGTTTGCTCTCAGGCACCTGACTTCCACATCACAGTCATGTTGGTTCATGCGGGTGGCCGGGGCTGGGTGGGTGAGGAGGGGAGGGGAAGGTCCCAGCCCTCTCTTTGTGTCACCCCCACCCCTGCACCCCCTGGATTTCCACTCTCACCCAAGGGAACAGTGTCGGGGCGCTGCAAGATGCTAATGAAAGCCCCCTCTCTTAATGACACTGGGGGTTTCGGGGGATGCCGCAGGCCAGTGCTGTCCTAATTAATTAATTAATAGGGAAAGGTTCCCACAGAGGAGGTAGCCTCAATTCTTTTTCCTTCTCTCGCTTGGGCCAGCAGCCAAGGGGTGGGGGGTGAAGGTGGGGCCTGGGCCAGGTTGGCACGCTTGATGCGCTGTCATTCCCAGAGGATCAGGGGCCGTCAGAGCTTTGTGCCACACTGGCCAGTGGCTCAAATCCCAGCCATACCATTTCTGAAACGCTGCCAATCCCTGGGGTGGCGGGGGGGACTCCTCTCCCCATCACCTCAATGGTCTTGTCCATCTGGGAGAGGGTGGACCCTTACCTGACAGGGCCAGGGGGAAGTGCGAGGCGCCCAAAGCAGAGTGGAGCCCTGAGTTTTAAGAATATTCCTTTTACAAATTGATAGCATTTTAAGGCAGACATGTGGTATCTGACCTTTTGGGATTGACTCATTTCCCTTGGCATGATGGTTTCCAGTTGGATCCATTTGGCCACAAAAAAGTACATTTTTTTTTTTTATTAGAGCTGAGTAGTATTCCATGGAATAAATAAAAAAGGGTACCTGTGAAATGTAGTATTACATTGTTAATTAACCCCATCATGTTGGAAACTGTTGTTGATGTTCTGTTATGGCATTTAATTGGAACGATAATCTGCCAGCTGTGTCTCCAGACCAGAGTTGGTCTCCTCAAGAAACTGTTGAATTCAGCTGGGCAATAAGATACTGGACACTAGGCAAGGCACAGGCTTGCATTGAAAGAAACAAGACTAGATTTGAACTGTAATACTGCAATAAGGTGGAGCAATCCACCACGGGGGGAGGGCAAGGGGAGGGGAAGGGGGAACCTCAGAGCCTATGAAAAGTTGTTATAAAATGAAATGCAATAAAATAATATATGTAGGGTCCAGCGCGGTGGCGCAGTGGTTAAGGTCCTCGCCTTGCACGCCCGGGATCCCATATGGGCACCAGTTCTAATCCCGGCAGCCCCGCTTCCCATCCAGCTCCCTGCCTGTGGCCCGGGAAAGCAGTCGAGGACGGCCCAAAGCTTTGGGACCCTGCACCTGCGTGGGAGACCCGGAAGAGGCTCCTGGCTTCAGATCGGCATAGTATCGGCCCGTTGCGCTCACTTGGGGAGTGAATCATCGGACGGAAGATCTTCCTGTCTGTCTCTCCTCTCTGTATATCCGCCTTTCCAATGAAAAAATAATAAAAATAAATCTTTAAAAAAAATATGCAGCACAAGCAGCCAGCACAGGGTCAGACTGAAGCTGGGAGCCGGGAACTCCATCCGGGTCTCTCACAGAAGCCAGCATCACCCAGTGCTTTTCGGGGTGTGCATCAGCGGGCAGCAGGCTTTGGACCCAGAGCTGGGGCTTGCCAACCGGGTACTTGGAAGCTGGCATGTGGGAAGGCTTGTTGCTGGGGTATACGGTACTTGGGGTTGACCCGGGCTATGGGTTAAGT